AGTAATACTAATCAACGAATGAATACTATCAATACTGCATTCTATATGTATGTATCAGGTGTTTAGCTTGCCTTACTCTTATGACGTCCACCTACAGCAGCCATAGAGAACTAATTTCCCTTTATGCAGAATTTGAATAGTTTTCACATGTACCTATCTAAAAATTCCTTCGGATTACGCAGATCCTAGAGAACGAACTATAAGAGATTAACTTGTAAACGCGGAATCGAAATATAGCTGGAATTTTGCCTTATTTTGATTTCTGGTTGCTAACTGCAGAAAAGGATTCCCGCTGAGCTAACAGTTGAGCCTTAATAGCACAACACAAACTCCAGACTGTACTACCCATATAACCCATTAACCCCATGCGCGGCTAACCACAAATTCACTTTCCTATTGTGGCTAAATTGAGCGAGCCAGGAGCCACGCAATCGCAGCTCTGGCGAATTTAGACCGCAACATAAAATCGGACAATTTATGCCGACAACTGTGCGAAAACCTAAATGAAAAGTGAAGTTGATGGGAGATGGGGAATGTCATAAAAAGGTAAACGGCAGCCACGGAGGCGCACAAACATTACCTGAGGCAGATGATGGGTGTCTTGGGCTGCTTGGGCGTCTGCTCCGGGTGTCCGCACTTGACGGTGACAACAGAGACACTGACGTCGTCGTCGCCATTCGCATCCAGTGGGGCGGCGAGCGGCGCTGCTGCAGTTGGAGACTGCACGTCATCGGCACCACCACCAACACCACCACCACCAGCACCATTTGTCTTCAAGCGCACCACATGCGCCAGTTTTGTGGTGGCAGCCACAGCAGCAGCCACCACATTGCCATTGCCATTGGGCAGCGTGTTGATGGGCTTCTGCAGTAATTGATTGGAGGAGTCCAGGCGATTCGAGAGCGAAGTGTGACGATTGTTGACTGACTGAAAGTTGATGAAAGAAACTTTAGATACAATTAACTAGAGGGAAGTTTATAAAATGAGAGCGAGAGAGAGAGAGAGAGAGAGAGAGAGAAAGTTGTGAAAATAGATAAGACTGTCTTTAAAGTTAGCAGAAAAATTAATTAATTAATAAAAAGAAAAATAAAGCAAGTAAAAAAGCTCTAGTCGAGAGTGATCGACTATTAAATACCCTTTGTGGGTAAAGGGGAAAAGGGTATACAATCAAAAAGAGTTACGGAAGGAAAGACAGAGAGATCCTTTCTTACCACATTGTTGTTGTTGTTCATGCGTCCACGTATATTGTACAGCCCATAGACCAAGGGATTCATGCACGAATTCGTTGAGGCGAATATGAAGAGAGCTTTGCGCACCAGCGAATTGACCTTGTGCACGGACGTCTTGTCGAGGGAATACCACATGCATATGAAGTAGTACGGAGTCCAGCAGATAATGAACACAATCACAATCGTGATGGTCATCTTGAGAGTGCGTTTCTTGGCGCGACTCAAGACGTCGTCGTTGGAGCGGCGAAAGCGCTCCGCGATGACATCCTTCAGCACACGCTGATTCTTGCGATAGATCTCCAGGTAGATGGCACCGTAGCAGTAAATGAATGCGATCAATGGAAATGCGTACATGGCACACATTGTGCCGATCTGATAGAGCGAGTTGTCAAAATCACCGGCGAACGAATGAAAGGTGACGCACTGGAAATAGCCTTTGACGGTCGGATGCTCCTCGACGTGGAAGAGAAAGGCCTGCAATGGCAATGACTGACATTAATTGGAATTGGTTAACTACTGTGTGTGTGTCGGACCCACCTGCGGAATGCTGCAGATGACGGAGCCCAGCCAAGCGCAGGCCAGCATGATGCGGCCACGATTATAGGATCGTTTCAGTGGCTTCAGGATTGCATAGTATCTAGAGAAGGAAAGAGAGAGAGAGAGAAACTTAATCGAAATGTTAGGCAAGCGATTGACACTTTGTCTCTGCGTGTGCGTGTGTGTGTTTGTGTGTGTGTTTGTCGCCTTATCTGGCCAATCAATTTGGTCCATTAGCAACACAGTCGAATTTGCCGTCAACTCACCTGTCGAGCGATATGCAGACCATGACAAAGCTGGACAAGTACAGTCCGAACACGCGAAAGAAGCTCATGAGACGGCACATGAGGTCCGTGGAACGCCACTGCACCGTCCAGGCCCACGCAATCTCGAGCGGCATCAGCAGAAACGTCACCATTAGATCGGCAATGGCCAAATGCATTAGCATGATGTCGATACGCAAGGGGCCACGCAGTCGACGCTTGGTCAGCAGATAGAGCACTGTGCAGTTCCCAATTGATGAGATCACAAAGAGTATGCTGCGAATGGGAAAAGGTCGTGGCGATTAATCGGCCAATAGCACGAGCGAGCGACTGAGCGCTATCGTTCGGGGATAAGGCAATCACGTGTGGGGGCGGGGCGGGGCGCGGCTTGACGTGGCGTGGGTGCCATTCGGCTCTGTGCTAAGTGGGTCATACGATTTGAACAAAGCAGCGACTTCAACTGCAGCTCAAACGACCCAAGGAAGGAGTGACTATGGAGTTTATCACTATATTTATGTAATAGCTTATATCGCAATGGCAATCAACGGGTATATTACATTATGGTGTTTATATAAGTATTAATGAAAAACTATGATAAAGTAATGAAGGAAAGAGCAAAACGGAAATAATTAATATTCATTTTCTTTAGCATAAAAAAGAAAAATTTATTGTACAAATTTATTGTTTGTAAACTTGTATTTTGAGCATTAAATTCTTTTAAAGGGTGCAGCTATATTCATAATAATATATACAGAATATTTTTTTTAAAATAATAATAAGAATAAAAATGCCATTTTATATATTTTTTATATCTTATCTGTAGAACATAGAGTTTGCAATGTTAAATTTGTAAAGTACCTTAAATCGTATAACAAATCAAAATGGGGCTCACTCATTTCGACAAGCCCAACGATTGTTTGATAAAGCGCAATAAACGGAGTTAGTTGGCAAACATGATTTTTATAGTCAATAAATCAAAATATTCTGCATTTGATAATATATTACATAATGATAAAGCGTATGCAAATATTACAAGCTAATATTTACACTTATAAATATCGAATATAAATAAATAAAGAAACGTTAGAATATACACTTCGGGCTATATCGGCCCAGTAGCAGTATAATAACATTTCACTACATTAAAGTAAACTTAACGATATAAAAACATCGGAAATACTGGAATATCTTGTATTAAATAGGATACATTGCTAAATGTACATGCGCACATAATAAAATAAAAAGTAAATTAAAGAATCAGAAGAAAAGCAACTCCCAAAGCAAACAAATTCTTTCCATTTAAATCAGCTAAAATGAAAATAAATACTGTACAGCATTTGGTAATAAAAACTACGTATTCTTCATAGTTTAGGGTATGTGCTAGTCGAAGCTCACTTTCATAACACTTTTTCACCGATTTTACCAAACATAACGATTTTTCCATAAACGATAAACGCCGCAACGTTCGTTCAGCAAATATAATTTTATGACTCGCGTTCAAAGACCTTTTAGCGCATAGCTAAAATAAAAGACTGAAGTCGGTCTTGGCTTAATGTAGACATAAAAATTTACAATTCTCTCAAATTGAAATGTCAAAGGCAGTTATTGTTGTATTTAAATATGATTTGCAGACATAAGCAGCTTACAACAAAAAATATTGTTAATTATCTTTTGAAATGTATTTAGCTATTTTAAAAAAGAAGATATTTATTATAAACACTTAATAGATATATTTAACAAAAATATGTGCAAAAATATAAGCAAAGTATTTATCTATTATTAAAAATAATATAATATAATATATAACAAATTGCTATATATTCTATATATTTTGCATATATTTAATTAATATTGTATAGAAAATTTATAGCCATAATTAAAAAGTTTATATACATTTTTTCATAACTGTAACTTTTTGATTTTTATTTGTTGCCACTCAATCAATCAACTGTCTAGACTGTGTAAGGTGCTTAATAATTCTATAAAATAATATATACATATATTCTCAGATTCACTCTTAGCATTAATTATTCTCATAAAGAAAATCCTACTTTATTCACATTTCCCCATTATCAATATTACGTATACGCATGTTGGTACTTGGCATAAATTTGATTTAATCATCAACTAAATAATTCAATACCCGCAACAATAAGCACCTAGTTGTACAACATATAACGCTTTAGTTAATAAAACTAAATTTGTATAATATGCATTTCTTTTTTCGTTTAAAAAAAAAACTACTTTCTACGGGCTTCTTAGTCAGTTTTGTGAACGTCAATCAGCTGCTACGATCTGTGTAACATTTCGAATCACTCTATTAATGTGAACCCTACGCTGATCCAAAGCGTTCAAATTCCAAGTGAAAAATTATTAAAATCAGAGACTGATAGACATGAGCACGACATGATTTATACTTATTTATAACCACAACCACACACCTACACATTGGCTGATAAGTTTTTAGAAAAGTGCTTACACAGCCGCTGCTTATCAGTGTGACTGTGTGTGTAACTGTCTATATATGTATATGTGTGTGTGTGTCAAAGTACAACAATGCTGGCTTGGGCAAGTATGTGTGGGTGATCTCACATGTTAAGCTGAGTATAGAAAGTCCCCAGTCACATTCCCATTTCCCATTCGCATTTCTCATTCCCGTTCTCCATTCCATTCCCATTTCCCTTTTCTCCATTGCTCACACTCACCTGTAGACCGCGATGGACAGACGATGGCCGTCATTGAATATCATATCCTTGGACAGATGCATTGTGCCGTTTGTATTATTCACATTGGACCAGTCACGCAATATACGATGATCATAAACAACCTCATTCACTTCGCCAGGCGCGGCCATTTTAGTGGCCAATAACACACACCGCTCTCTGCAACAATTCCCGTTTGTTTATAAACTTTTGGCGCACGTGAATTTGGCCAAAATAAACAGTTTGAATATATATATTATTGACTCGACTATTTATTAGTTATTAAATATAAAAATTTATTGGAATATTTCCTCTTTTTCTACTTTTTAATTTCTTTTTAATTTTTTATGAGCGCGCAATAAATTTTATTTTAATTAACTAAAGTGCAAGAAAATATATACATATATATCTTTATTTTTATTTTTAGGTATTCTAGAATCAAAGAGAACTTGAAGGAAATGGAAATAATTATCAACAATTTTTAGGCTTGATGGATTTTTCTTGGAATGAGTAAAAGTTATTTGCAGATTATTTAAATTTTTTTAAATATATATAAACAAATTAGCCAAGTATATTGCCTCAAGTAGTCGCTTTTAAAGACTTCTTGGCATAAGAAGTAGAAATTTATTTATTTATGAAATATTTTTTTTAATTTTATATTTTATACAAATAATTTTAAAGAAATTTATTAAAACACTAATTGTACATTTAAGTTTCCATCACTCTGCTTAGCAAAATAAATTGCTTACACTTGATTAATTGATTATTTAATGGTAAACACATATAATAAATATATATTTCAAATATATAACTGCATATATGTATACATTTGTTTATTGTTATTTGCGTTCCAGCATTTTGAGATGTGTGTATTTATTTTCGTTTTTTCTTTTTGCAATACGCTCGATTTCCAACCTTGCTTGATAATCACAAAAACAGACACTGAATCAGACTTCAGAGCTGCCTTCTCTTATTGCGCCCTATAGTCCAAAGAGCTAAAGGATAGCCCCGTAATGCGTATACATATGTATATGTTATTTTTCTTACTCAATTCGATTAATTAACTTCACTCATTTATCCCGCTGTTTCGGAATGTTGTGAATTTATATTGTTTTGTCTTTGATTATATACGGTTTTTTCTTTTTTTTATTATTATTTTTAGTACGTTTTTAATGATTTTTTCAGCTTTATTTCAAATATTGACCTTGAACTAATTCTTACAATCTCACTCACATATATTTTTGATGTATGTCAAAACTCAACTTATGCTGCGTTGCGACTCTTGTTTATTATTATTAATAATGTTGCTCTCTCATGCCTCTGGCTCGATAATCAGTTAATCAATTGCGCTCAATGGAGCAGACACCCAGACTCACTCAATTGAGAAGGGAGAACAGCAACAACAACAACAACAACAACAACATCAACAACATTACAGATTACGACAAGACAACAACAACAACAATTAAAATGCCTCTCCGTACATTAATCCTTGAGCATCACAACTTGTAGCACAATAAATTAATTGTTTATTTATTTGTTTAATCGCACAGTGTTTGCTGGCCTTTTGAACTTTTGCTTTCTTAGTCTGTGTTGTTGTTAAAGTCGGAGATAAATAAATGAAATAGACAGACATTGCAAGGGGGCTCGCCGTTCGGGCAATTAAAAACAATCATGAACCGGATAGCTCAGCAAATTATAGTCGAATTGTTATAGAAACTATATATGTACATATATTATTCCCATTCAAATTTACTCTTCACACATACTGTTATACAACACTTTTTTCCTAACGGCTTAATCTAGCCAACAATTCACCTATTTTAAGCGTAATCAATGATTACGTCTGTGCGATAATTGCTTCCTTTTATTTTCCTGTTTTGGTTTCTTTCGAATACCGTTGTTTTGCGTTCTCTAAACACGCGCGCGCACCGTGTCCAAGAATATAATAATATATGTATGTTTGTGTGCATGTGTGTGAATATTATTGTTGTGCTTGCCATATACACAGTCGTGTCTGTGCAGGTGTGTGTGTGCGTGCCTGTGTATATATGCGTGAGTGTATGCAAGATCTGATAATTTGCACACCTCACGCACCAACACACCAGCAGAACGGTCAACACAATGCAATCGATCAGTTTACAGCACTGACCACACACACACACATACACAGTGTGTGAAAAAGAGAGGGCGAGAGAGAGCGGCGTGAGTTATGTTATCGATAACTCATCTGATTCGCGGTTCGCGAACATCTATTTGCACCGTGCGGCGTACAGGAACTGACTGAATTAAGAGGGCGGCTGCTGTGGCAGCTGATGCTGCGCTGGCTACTGCTGCTGCCGTGAAATCGAAATCTCAACAACAACTGATAATCTAATTTGAAAATAATATAAATACTAACAAAAAGTGCTACACAGCTGGCGCACTTACTCTCACACAAGCACATGTAGTTGGTAATGCCGGCCGGGCAGTGATAACAGCAGACGACCCCAAAAAAAATGTTGGACATGTGTTCGCCGTGTTGTCCCGCCCGCATAAATTCAATGCGTATGCCGCGGCCCCTCACTGTCTCCGTCTCTGTCTCCGCCCCTGTCTCTGTTGCTGTCTCTATCTGTGTGTAATTCAAAGTTCAAAGCTGGTCTGCCTATACGGGCGAATTGCCAAAACGCTACGGCGCGCTTATCAACGTAATAAAAACCGTAAAACGCATGCCGTGAGCGTGTCTCAAAAAAATATATATTTTATTTATTTATGTATACATATGCATACATATACGTATATTAGCTTATCTGCGTCTGGTGGCGGCACGTCTTGACTTTTTCACCAACTTAACACGAATATATGAAATAAATATATATTTAAGTATATATACTTGATTTATTGTTCAACAAATTGAAATACTGCGTAAATTATCCTTTTCCGGCAACACTTGCGTTTACTTTGACTGCCCATTGGCGTCTGCTTTGAACCGCATTTCTGCACTTTTCAAGGTTAACCATTTTGCCCATATTTTTTCCACATATTTGTACTACTCTTTTCATTTTTCTATCTTTTTTTTTTTGTTGCGCTGCCCATAAATGCCAAGTCGCAATTTGCCAAACATTTCATTTATATAATGAGCACAAATTGGTCCCAACAAAAAGGATTTCAAGTTCATGTTCATAGTCCATATGACATTTCACAGCCCCCCATTGTATGCTATGAATAGTGTGCGCAAGTGTGTGCAGCGTTGGCATTCAAACACGCACACATACACTGATATATACTGTATGTGTGTGCGAATAGTTATCAAGATGCACCTGCGCTGATAAGGCAATCATATTGTTCATTTTAATGAGGCAGCGTGTCGAGAGGTTGTGCATTAAAGAGTTTGCAATGTAGAATTCTATCTATCGGTATATCAACATTAACTCCTGCGATTACATTGATAATTATAGCTCATTTTACAAAGTTTTATTATAATTAAAAGTAAAACTTTTTTAAATGTAACACTCTTAAATGGTTGTAATATAGTAAAAAAAAAATGTTTACTTACTGAATGGCTAAACAAAATATTACACCATTTTTATATCAATTTTACAGCCTCAAAGTATGCGACTTCTTTGCATCAATAAAATATTCTCCTAACTCAAGCAGTTCTCTCAATACAATAAACTCCTGCCTCAACAACATTAAAATATATGACCAAAACAGTAAAGTGTAATTTGAAAATAGGGTGATAACTGTTTAATTATTTTATTTTTGTAATTAACATGAAATTAGATTCAAAAATAATTTAAAACATAATATTTATTTCTAACAGATATTCAAAATTTGTGCAAGCTAAGAATACTTTACAACCTACGTTGTTTATGATTTATCTTGTTTAATAAAATTAATAGTAAACATCATTAAAGAAAAGCAATTTTAATTAAAAGTTAATAATATTTTTGTAGCACAGTTTAACCTGTTGCTAAAACATATCGATATTATTACTTAATCCAAATATCGATGACCAAGTTTAGTTCAATTACACACTAACTCGAGCAATCGGACTCAGTTCCGGAGTGAATTCTACCTTCACGTGTTGTGGAAGTTTTCACAGGTTTTGTTTTTACTAAGAAAAATAAATGAAATCCATGTGAAAATGTTGAGAAAATCAAAGAAACAGCCAGAGACCGTGGCCGAAAAGGTGAGCAAACTGCTCGCCCATCCCAACGACAGCGAGAGCGATGATGAATCTGACATCGATGTGGCCACCAAAGCGCGCGTTGCCGACTTCGAAGATGAATACGATTTGCCAGATGCGCGCAGCACAGACTTTCGTAAAAGGAATGTGAAATTGTTATCCGAGCAGAGCGAACGATACAAAGGCAAAATAAGCAGTCGCAAAGAACTTGAGGAAGAGAACAATGAAGAGGAAAGTGACGATGAGGAAGAAGAGGAGGAGGTGCCATATGAAGAGAGTGACACAGACGAGGAGGAAGCTGAGAAATTGAAGGCTTTTAACAGCAAGATGAAAGATGCAACAATTGCTACGAATAGAGCAAAAAGTGAAGATGATGACAGCAGCATGGATTATGAGAATGGCGGAGAACAGAAGGAAGACGATGATGATGATGATGAAGACGACGAGGAAGAGGAGGGCAGTGATGGTGATGATGATGACGGTGAGGATGATGATGACGACGGAGAGGAGAGCGATTCAGAAGAAAACGATTCTGACAATGATGCAATCGATATGAATGAAATCATGTCCAAAACCAACCAACAAGCAGAAATCCAGAAAGGACTCTGTGTGCAGAACCAACTGCAGATTTGGGAACGTCTCTTGGAGCTGCGCATCAACACTCAGAAGTTCACTAGCAAGTCGAATCAATTGCCTCCACCAGAGACGCTACAAGCGCTCAGCGATAACGATGAGGAGCTGCAAAAGGTGCTAAAGGAAACCCGGGAGCGAAGCTCCAAGCTGCTGCATCAACTGCTCGCCTTGCAGTCGGCGCTTACGCAGCAGCATAGTGAGCTGCGCCAAGCCGTGAAGCGGAAACTGCCAACAGAGTCCAGCTCCGAGTCGGAGCCGCCCAGCAAATGCTTTGCGAGCGCGCTGCAAAGCAATTTCGAGAATATGCGAAGCTATCGGAATGATGTGCTGCTCAAATGGGATGATCGCACCAAGCTGTTGACACCTGGAGCGGGTACTAAGCGAAAATCCATGCAAGACGATTACGATGTCATCAAAAAGATCGACAGTGCGCTGGCCAATCGTA